AATTAATAAATTAGCAATAAAAATGCAATTTAGCAAAGAGCATTTACCTACCTAATGCTATATAAGTATAAAGTATGCGGTCATCCAGCGTTAACAATGGAATGTAATTGAACGTTGAAATGCCAAACTTTACCGAAACAGCTTCTTGGTGCTTGCACTGAGCACCAGATATCCCAACAAAACAGGAACATATTCCAATTTTGATGTTTACAATATAAAAAAGATCAGTATTTTGCTTTGTACTGGGTACCAGAAATTTGTTTGTTACATTTGTCTCTCGAATTTCATTTGCATTAACTTATTCCAAACCGGGACATAAGAACCATTTCGCGATTCGTAGATGATCTGAATGTTTATTTACAAAGTTAAGTAAACGATATTCGTAGAACCTTTCCATGTTTGTAATGATGAATTGAAATACTTGAACGCAGTTGAATATCTGGGTCCTTGCAAAAACAATATCCTTCAATATTCCAAAGCTCCTTTCGATATAATTATTTGTATTGTTTCCACGTGTGGGCAATCCTATACGATAAGAAAGAGCCTAGAAGTTTCAGCATTTCTAAAGAAGTTCAAAGTGTTTTTGTAACTGAGGGTAAGTATGATAGAATTCTTGTTTGAATTCATAATAGCATGTATCCATTTCCACACTCAAAGCAGCATAAATAATTTTCTTCATTTTCGCCATAATAGATGCACGATCTTCTTTCCTGATGTGATGTTTTACATCATGTAGCCATCTCCAAAATGACTGTAGGATATGAAACGTACATAAAAGGCAGATCCCTTTCGGGTAATATAGCTCCAGGGCATTTCTCTCCGCACTTGAATCATCTGTAAGAAATAATATGGATCCTGTTTGTGGTTCACGGCTGTAAAACGCATATGAAGGAAGTATTATCTTTAGTATATTAATCTAGGTTTAATCAATAAATAACAAATATAAATTAATTTACCATATTTTTTTTTATATATACTAGATTATTCAATAATAATAAGAAATTAAATACCACTCTTTCCAAAGTAACTTCAAGCTTATCCGACATGATAAACAACCCAAGAAGAAGAGCTCCAATTGTGCAACTAGTATAAAGAAGGGTGATTGAAGTGTTTAATGATTCAAATGAAGCTGATGCATCAACATAACAAAGTTCTCCCGCTTGGGGAACTTTTTCATGCACTCGGCTCATGAGATTGGTCACAATACAAAGGATAAATACTTTTCCTATGCGTGTATCATATGCTTGTAAAATGGCCTTTCCCTGATCTGAATCATTATAATTTTTAATGTCTCCTGCTAGTCGTTCAAACATTGATTCACCATTGCGATTTCCAAGCGTGGCCTTACGATATTCTTGAAAAAGCTTTGCGGTATAGTCATAGTCTGGATTTATCGATCGATCTGCAAAAAGTTCAATCAATTCCTGTTCATCATTAGCTCTAAGGTGAAGTTCATCTTGATAAACATATAGTGCTGAAGTGGGGGAATGACCATCTTTGAAAAGGTTGAGGAGTTCTTCACGAACTTCTTCGTTAACACGTCAAAAACTCAGCGACTCTACTGAGTTGATCACATGATTATGCATATACTTATATTAACTTCTAATGGATGGGTAAGCGGAAGTCGATGACGCTCTAGTCGTATGTGAATGGTAGCATTACAGCCTACATCTCATGCCCGAAGTGATTGCAAACGCTTTACTGTAGTGATTTCCCTTGTTTTTTTTTCACCTCATAACTATGAAGACAGTGTCGTTTTTCTCGAAAAAGAACACGATTTCCTTTAATGTCATAGCCTCTTGTTTGAGGCATCGTTGATTTTGAATAAGATTGGAATTCTGCAATCCATTCGGATGCTGCCTCTTTACTACCAACATCTACAAAAATATCCAACTCAAAATTTGGGACTTCAAAGTTCTCTTGTGTTT